GAATTTTGAAAGTAAAAAAATCATTTAAGCTTCATATGTTGAAAATTAATAGCACTTAATCAATATATCTCTAGTTTATATACGAAGCCAAGAAATAATTATAGAATATGTTACTATTTTTTCCTTATAATATAAAACAAAAAATTATATAAAGCTACCAATTTAAAAAAGAATTTATTTTCCATTTGGCTTTTATTTTCTATGTAAGCCTCGTATGGACTGACCATGAGTTAATTAGGTTTAGAATTTTAGAATTCTTACAAGCTAGGTGGTTATTGCACGGTCATAATGATTGGCTTGTTTAGAAATTGTTATGTAATACATGACAATTCTCATTTTATTGATTATCATGATAGAACTTATCATATGATGACATTATTCTCCAATCATTTTTGGAATTTGAAAAAATAAATGTATTATGCATGCAACCTCGTAAAAGAAGTTACTATAATCAATTACTATTATAAGATGCTATACAAATTAACTTTATAATTATCACCAATATTTATTTAATTATTTATATTTTTCCAACCCATGGAATATCAAATCATGTGAAAAATTTGGTTAGAAAGTCATAAAATAGTCCTTTGAGAGGGAGAAAATTTGATTAGCAAAGTCAGGCTTATCCAGTATTTCGAACAGTATGCCTACCATCCTTGCTTGAGGATAACCAAATAAAGCCAAATCGTGCAACATTTCATTCATCATCATCTCTAAGCTAATTCTTGAGCTTTCAATAGTACTAACATAATCTGGTAAAGGAAGTGTGGGTCTTGATATATTGACAAATATCATGAAAAACACCATGAAGTTTCCATCATTAAATCCATCAGTAGTCTCATCGCTATTTCTGTTGAGTTTTAGTCCGTTATAAATTCATCCAGAAAGAAACATTTTTCTTGTAGTGTTTTCCTAACAACCAAAATGTTCTTTTAAATGTGTTATAGCTCTTTCAAATTATTCATATGCTTTCTATGGTAATGAAAATTAAGAATGATTGTAAAATTTTCACAACATAAATTGTACATTTTTTTTAAATAAAAAATATAATCAAAAGAGCTCCAACTTCCAATATATTCTTAAAAACCAAAAATTATAAGTCTAGATAGATAAAGAATCTTTAAGAATAAAATATGAACCATTAAAAGCATTCAAGGTGAATCTGAAGCAATACAAGTAGCAATCTAAGAAGCATCCAATCCCTTTTTAGCTTTGAACTCAAACGATCCTTCTGCTTCATCCTCAGGGATAAAAATTTATTTAATAGATTTGGGAATTCAAATGCAATCACTGGACATAGTGTGATTAATGTGAATTCTCAATTTTGGTAAACAAAAATTTTCATGGGAATGACTCTATAGTGGGTGAGAAGAAGGATGCGAATGTGGATAAGGTGATTGGTGAAATTCCTACTAGAACTTTTAATGGGGTTAATGTTAATCCGTGGACTAAGAAGCCATATATCAAACTGGACTTTATGGATGAAGATATGGTTTTGTTAGATGATGGAAAGGCTGTTAAGATGAATGAAGAGAATGAGACTTTGAATTCAAACAATTTGTTGAATTCTTTGGTAAATAAGGTATTTTGAAAGGAATTACCATCCCGTATGGTGGCATAGGAAGTGACCAGGCAATAGAGTCAATTTGGAAAATTTCATTTTACTTCTCTTGGAAGGGGTTGGTTTTTATGTTCTTTCAATTCACATTAGATGGTCGAAACTATTCTTTCAGGTGGCCCATGGTTTGTGAATTGGCATATAGTTTGTATGGAAAAATGGACTTCAGATTTTTCTCATTTGTTCATGAAGGGTCTGGCCTCTTCAATATGGATAAGAAAGCCACATTTACCATTATAATGTTGGGATGAGGTGAATGTGGAAAGGATTCTGAAATTCAATTCATTTTAGGAATGTTTGTATGAGTTGGAATTATTGGCTAGAACTAACCTGCTGGTGGTTAAGATATACTTCTCTTTGTTATGGTTATCCTACAACAACAGAAACAAGGTGAAGCATGGAAAGGTGGAGGATAGTGAAGTGTTGATTGCTTCTAATGTTGTCAGTTTTGTTAGTATGACTAAACAGATTAAAATCCTCTCGGATCACTGGGATATCAATCAGTCTTACGAAATATTTTTTGAATTTTGGCATCTTCCACCTCCTGAGTGGTGTAAAATAAACATTGATGCTAATTCAAATCCAGCATAAGTTATTCTAACCCTCTTTGAAGATGATAATATCAAGGAAAGAAATAATTGTTTTAACTTTAGTTTAATGAATCTTTAAATAGAATTAGTATCTATAAATCTTCTACTTCATCTCCATAATAACCTAACATAATGACCACACTCCAATTTGTTGTATATGATGTTATTTAGGCGCTCAATATATCGTGCAATGATCTTAATATGGGATTCATTTAGATTGTTCCATTCACCAACCTGTAGAAATCTTCTATATATTGACTTACAGAACGAGCCCCTTGCCCACAATGCTGATATTTTAGGTAAATTATTTGCTCAAAATTAGTAGGAAGAAAATAAGCCCTCAAATACTACTTCATCTTATACCTACTCTGAATCCTTCATTTCCTTTCTCTTTGTCTCAATTGAAGCAATTGTGCCCACTAAGCGCTAGAACCTTTTTTCATCCTATAAAAAAATATACTTGCCCACTGAGCACTAGCACCTTTTTTCATCCTATAAAAAAACATACTCACTTGTTTGTCTGGGCTAACCTCCATGTACTCAAAGGTCCTAGTTCTTATAGTGTTCATTGAGCAAACATCCATGATAGAATGAAATATGTTCCATGGTATCATAAAGTTTCTCCAAATCAATATCATAGAGAGTTTATTGGTGATATAAGTTTCTCCTAAAAAAGTGGTTGAGTTATTTTCTTTTTAATTTGACAAAAAAATTAATTATTTTAAAAATTTTATCCATATTTATTCAATGGTTATTTAAATTTGTAAATTCTAAAATTTTATAGGGTTTAAAAATAAAATTTTTAATAAAAAATTGATTTACATAATTGAAATTTTATGATATATAAAAACTTAAAAATTATTTCAAGTTAGAGATATAGTCTGCTCATGCCCCCTAATTCACCCATTTATTTTACTATAAAATTATATCACTTCAGATGAAGTGTGAAAATTCATTAAGACACTTTGGAAAAGGC